GTCAACAATGCTGATGATGGTACAGCACGCAACAACCACCCTACTGCTTTCTCTCTGAGATGATCACGTTGGTCATGACGAGAGGAGCAACACAATAGTTGGGTAAAGAAGAACTGCATTATAACACACCATCGACTGGAAATGCTCTCGCGACGTGGGGCTTTAGGTAGTGATGAAAACGTCGCTAGAACTATTCCACAGCCGCAGTCAGTTTATGAGCAACAAGAGGGACGCACATTTTTGCCTGTGGACTTGGAGACATACTTCAAGTCCCCGCGTGCGTCTATCTTGAAAACTGTCGCTTTATGGCCCTTCGCTCATTTTCAACTTCTATTCAATTTTCATACTGCCGTACTCTAACGGAACTATCCACCTACACTCTTCTAAAGATCATTCTCTAGCTAATAAATCATCACACTAAAGCTTCATGTTAGCATTTCCAACCAACTCTGAGGTTATATGTATCAAACACTTACCTTTCAACCTCTACTTGTATCTAACAAGGACAAAGTATCATAATAACATCTAATGATTTCAAAATTCAGAAAATCATTTTTTATAGCAAGTGAGTGGAAGCAACCCTGGTTGCAATCTGGGGGGGTGGACGTACTGTCAAATCAGCCTACTGATCATTCTTGTATGAAACTGGTTCCAAACGTAAACAAACCCTGTAGGTTTCTTATGGCATGTTTACGTTTGGAACCAGTTATGCGAGGTAGGCGACGATTGTTCGTATTTGACAGCCACCTCCCCCCCTTGGTTGCAATTGGTTGGTTCTAATTAGGCCTATTCTGCGCGGTGTGTGAGGTAAGGTGACAGTGAAGTAATGGTGAAGTGACAATTGTCACCTCGGGTGAGGTGAGTCTCCGTGCAAATCAAATGGAGAGCCACCTCACGCGAGGTGACAATTGTCACTTCAGAAGTGACAGCGTGTCACCTCACCTCACACGCCGCGCAGAATAGGCCTAAATATAATTCCGCCTTTTTTGGTCGGTTTCATTGAATTGAATTGAATTGCCATGGTGATCTGGGACGAGGCTCACGTCCAAAGTCGCTGTTCCACCGAGCGCTCCGTGTGCGAAACGAGAATGAAAGAAATACGAAAGGGATCAGTTTCAAGAAGTGACAGTTTCATCAGATTCCCCAACTAACCATAGTGAAGCAAAGTAAAACGCTGTCCAGACTGGAGAGTTATAACATGTTATAACGGTTGTCAAATAATTGCAACACAGAAACCACCATCAAGATAGCGCTATAACATGTTATAACTCTGTAGTCTGAACGTACTATAAGAATATACAAGCTATATTGCGACTATATGGTTACTTGGGTACTCATATGGCCGTCAGAATGGTTCATCGGTTGCGAAGTGAAATATTTCTGATAGTGATGCGTTATATTTCTCAATGTTTTGATTTTATCCTAAAACGCTGTACAGACTGGAGAGTTATAACATGTAATAACGGTTGTCAAATAATTGCAACACAGAAACCACCATCAAGATAGCGCTATAACATGTTATAACTCTGTAGTCTGAACGTACTATAATAGTACGTTCAGACTACAGAGTTATAACATGTTATAGCGCTATCTTGATGGTGATTTCTGTGTTGCAATTATTTGACAACCGTTATAACATGTTATAACTCTCCAGTCTGGACCAAGGTGACTACATATAGGTGTTCTAATGGGTCAAATTCATGATTCAGCCATGTTGGATTTTTGTATGGGACAGCGACCGAGTTTGTTTACAATTTGCTCTAAAACCGCACTTTTCCCCCCCGCGACCTCCTCGCCTATATAGTGACAAAGCTGTATCACCATTTATCTACCCACCATGGTCTGGACAGCGTTTGAACAAGGCATAACGTTACCTCCATGTTATATCACAGACAAGCAGACACAACACATTGAACATTTATCATTGTAAAACCTACCGCCATCTGTCGTATATACTTTGATGGGCAATACACTCAACAGATGGTTGTAGTGTGTAAACATCAAACGCTAGGGAATTGATTATGTGCATCACAAGTGGCGGTACTTCCAACTAAGAAACATTTAAATTGACCGTTAAAAACGATTTCGATGAAGGTTTTAAGAGTGTTATGTCTGCTTGTCTGTGATCATACCTTCACTATTGCAACTTCGGGTAATCTGCGAAAGTATTTGCATTTTTCTCAGGCACTTTTGATCTAACTGCAATTACTCTCTCATACTCGAAATGTGTCAAGACCAAATTGGCATAACGACGACCTATACGCGCTCTGATCGAAGCGCAGGGAGGGCCCATGCATTAATTATGTCACGCTAAATCGAGGAGAAATTTACTCCCCCCCCTCCCTTTCGTGACGGTTTTCCTATACCTAATGCATTGCTTGTCACAAAATCTTAGACCCCCCCTTAGAGCGTGACATAATATCTGCATCAACCCTCATGCTTATGAAATTCATATATTATGTTGTTCATCAGTTGAGCCTTATGAAATTCTTATAGGTCTATTTGCCTCTATTTGCTCGGGTTTTGATAGTTCAGATCACTGCACATTTAAATCGAGCATAAGTCAGAATTATGTGTCATGTCGGTTTGTCGGTGATAGAAGAGCAATAGTTTGTATTAGAAATACTATAGAAGGAGAGATGGGCGGAGAGAATGTTTTGAGCCAAATGAATTGCCAAAATCTGAGCCAATCGAACATTCCCATTAGAATTTTTCTTATTCTTACTAGAATAAATTTGAGAGTATTGCAATCGAACAGAAATTCAATCACCTTTATGTTTTGTGTGCTTCTCAAATTCAACTAGTTTTTGGAACCAAAAACAATATTCTAACTCTATTGATTAATTGATCTAGGTTGGTTAATGAATGGCAACAAAAAATGTGCAAAATATTGCGATGAAATCAATTATTATTTTGCACGTAAATCGAATCAAAAATAAAAGTCATTTTAAATACTATAGCTTCTAGCAAGGGTTGCAAGATAATTTAGGAACAAATCCCTGCTGCCGAATTGTATTTTGTTTTCTCCGCCTATCTCTCCCTCTGAGTATTTCTAGTTTGTATCGCCTAATTCGATTTGTTTACATTTGTTACTTAGGACCTTTTGAAGAGTGACGCTAGAAAAAATGTGGAAAATGTTTATGGTGTTCGTTGTTCATCGCAATGTTTATCTCAAGAGCAAATTTTCATTATGTCGTAAGTAACATTCGCACCAATCCGAGAAAAATAAAGTTTTGTTTTGATGACCGTAAAGTTATTCCTATTTCCAAGTAAACACATATAACATAGAGGTAACTCTAAGACCACTGGGTCAAGAAGAAAATCATTATTATTTTTGGCTCACTCAGTACCAGACCAACGGTCCCAAGCAGTCCCAAGCTATTTCACTCACCCCTGCATGTTCTGCATGAATCCACACACCCCTGATGTTATCTGTCAAACTTTCATAGCGAATCAAAACAAACATAGTGTAGTAATAGAATTTCAACTAGAATAGGGTACGTTAATCGTTTGCTTGGGACCAATAGGCTACTAAAGTGGTGAGCCAATTTAAAATCGTTAGTTTCGTATTGATTGTTGTTATAACTCTCCAGTCTGTAGAGCGTTTTATTTAACGTTACCTCCATGTTATATCACAGACAAGCAGACACAACACATTGAACATTTATCATTGTAAAACCTACCGCCATCTGTCGTATATACTTTGATGGGCAATACACTCAACAGATGGTTGTAGTGTGTAAGCATCAAACGCTAGGGAATTGATTATGTGCATCACAAGTGGCGGTACTGCCAACTAAGAAACATTTAAATTGACCGCTAAAAACGATTTCGATGAAGGCTTTAAGAGTGTTATGTCTGCTTGTCTGTGATCATACCTTCACTATTGCAACTTCGGGTAATCTGCGAAAGTATTTGCATTTTTCTCAGGCACTTTTGATCGAGCTTTTGATCTAACTGCAATTACTCTCTCATACTCGAAATGTGCCACGACCAAATTGGCATAACGACGCCCTATACGCGCTCTGACCGAAGCGCAGGGAGGGCCCATGCATTAATTATGTCACGCTAAATCGAGGAGAAATTTACCCCCCCCCCCTTTCGTGACGGTTTTCCTATACCTAATGCATTGCTTGTCACAAAATCTTAGACCCCCCCCTAGAGCGTGACATAATAGCTGCATCAACCCTCATGCTTATGAAATTCATAAATGTTGTTCATCAGTTGAGCCTTATGAAATTCTTAGGTCTATTTGCCTCTATTTGCTCGGGTTTTGATAGTTCAGATCACTGCACATTTAAATCGGCCGTTTACGGTTTTCGGGCATAAGTCAGAATTATGTGTCATGTCGGTGATAGAAGAGCAATAGTTTGTATCGCCTAACTCGATTTGTTTACATTTGTTACTTAGGACCTTTTTAAGAGTGACGCTAGAAAAAATGTGGAAAATGTTTAGTGGTGTTCGTTGTTTATCTTTTTACACGAAACAGCTGTTTTCTGTGACCAATAAAATGGATTACCGAGGTAAAGCAATCGGTTAAAGTTGTGTGAGTAAAACCCCTGTACGATGGTACGATACAAGCAATTAGTGACGTCACTACTTGCTTTTTTTCTTTCCTTTATTTAACGTCGGTCTCTGTTCCGCAATCTAGTGCCAATCACCGACGGACATCGATTGCCATCCATTGACCGCAATCGAATGTGCATTTGGGGTGTTAGAAAGCAGTCACGCTTACCACTACACCACCGGCGCCGGCTACGTCACTACTTGCGTTTACGTTGATTTTTGTATTTATTTCACGATCTGCCTCACCTCTCTCTGTTGCATTGTTCTGTGACGACACGTCTGCAATTCGCAGTGGAATATGTTGTGCTGCCGCTTGCTCAGCAATATTTACAACAATTTTGCTTCTAACACCAGCAAGCTGCATGTTGTTCCAAGCCTTGTAAAATTGACATCGGGTGTCGGCGTCGCAATTGGTAAACAAAAACAAATTCCTTGCACATGTGACGATTGGCGGTGATCAGTAATCGCGCGCGTAGTACTTCGTAAAACTTGTGAATCATGCTGAAAACGGAAGTGTTTAGTGAAAAACCGTTCGGAAATGCTATCACATATCATCCCAACGATGAAAGTAGAACGTTGTTCTTCACCTACAATCAACTGTGGAACGCAATAACCGATGTGCGGAAGAAGCTTGAGGACAGCAACTTGTCGGGGTGTTACATCGGAGTAGCTTCGGGACATTCGCCTGCATTGATTGCAATCGTTTCCGGGTGAGTCTTTTGCTGCGGATTTCGTCCACCAGGATTAAGTTTGACTAAATTATTACAATTTATTTATTTTAATATTATAGCATCCATTTGAGCAATTCGGCGTTCTGCAGTTTGAAAGTGTCCAATAATCCTATCCCTTTGATGAACACTCTGAAAAGAATATCTACTAGCTATTGCTTTTTTAACACGGCCGACACGAAGCTTCTGTTAGCTAATCAGATCAAGTTCAAAGTGATTGCTGATTTAAATCTACTGCAAGAGCTGATAGTTCTACTGCAATTTGAGTTCGACACACCGTATACCAAGACTTTGCATAATATCGCCTATTGCGTAGCGACTTCCGGTAGTACTGGAGACCCCAAATTCGTCCGGGTGCCAACGGATTGCATTTTACCGAACTTGGTGGCGTTGGAAAAGCTGTTCAAACTTGGTGAATCGGATAGAATATTGGTCTCCTGTCCGCCCACATTCGATCCTTTTGTGGTGGATGTGTTTATGGCTTTGCGAAATGGGGCCTGTCTAATTTTGGTTGCGAATGAGATCCGATTGGACGCTGGTCGTTTACGAAAGATTGTGTTTGAGCAGAACGCGGTAACGTTTATGCAGATTACTCCATCGTATCTGCGGCAGTGGAGTGATGATTGGATAAGGAACGTGATGCTAGCGAAAGGCAGTTCTCTGAGGTACGTTGCATAGGCATTTTGGAATTCTAATACATGACTAATTAATGGTTTTCTTCCAGACATTTGGTACTGGGAGGTGAACCATTTCCTATTTGGTTAAACATTCCCGTCCAAAGTCCAGTCGAAGTGTACAACATCTACGGGATCACGGAAGTGTCGTGTTGGGCAACGATCGAGCTGGTAACAGCTGCTTCAACAGATGAAATATCTCTTGGGAAACCGATCGATGAGACGATCGAGTTGCAACTTCGTGACGTTGATACTGGACAGGTTTTGAGCGTGGAACAAAGACCAATTCGGGGAAATTTACACATAGGAAGCCGTGTTCGGAAATGCGTTGTCGGTAATGAATTAGCGGAGCAGGTCTTCGCATGTGACACGATTTGCTATCGATCTACGGGAGATCTAGTAGAGTTGCAATCGGATGGAAAGTTCTACTACTTGGGACGATGCGATGATGTGGTGAAGCGTTTCGGCGTTCGAGTCAATCTTGGGTGGTTGGAACGTTGCGCTGATCAATGTAAAGGTATTTCGAAAAGTTGTGCCATTTTCGAAACGAAACGACACAGAATAGTACTTCTCTATACAGTGTGTGATAGAAACATGCAGAAGCACGATTTAAGAAAGCTCCTAGGAGCAAAATTGAAACAAGAAGAAATGCCTGACGAATGCATCCAAATTGACAAGTTGCCTTTGTCTGATCATGGAAAAACGGATCGTAGAAAGTGTTTTCAACAACTCCAGGAAATTGATTCAATCAAACAGGGACCAAACAAAGGATTAAAGCAATTTTTCAACGAAAAACTTTTCAACTTGCTTGGAATTCGACTGTTCCCGTACGGATCTGACGAATCAAAACGTACCAAATTTGATCTCGGTTGTTCTTTCATAGACGCAGGAGGAACGTCTATCCAAGCACTCCAACTTGTTACCTCGCTACAAGACTGCTCTAAAACAACGGTTCCGGATCTGATCCGTATGTTGTTGGATAAATCAGTGCCCTTCAATGATATTTTCCATTATCTGGATGAATATCATGCCGAACCACAGGAAGGCTCGTCTCAATCCCCAAAAGTTGCGCAAGAGCTGGAACAACTCAGTATAGACATTTCCATCAAAACGCATTTCAACATGGACAAATGCATCGATGCCAGTCCTACTGAATATTACAGTGAAAAACACCGGCGAAAGATCGTCGCAGTTGGAAGTCATTCCCACAAGGTGTTGGTAGTGGATGCTGAAAATGATCTGACCATCACGGAATTGGTCCTTCCAGATCGGGTAGAAAGTGCCGTCAGCTATCTAGTCGGTGAAGATTTTGGATTTGTCGGATGTTACGATGGAAAGCTGTACTGTTTCGACATTTTCACTGGTTCCATTCGATGGAGTTTCGATTCCGGTGGAATGATTAAATGTAAAGCTCTTGTGATAGAATCTGTGATAATCTTCGGATGTTACGCTGAGGAACATAACTTGTTCGCTTTAAATCTGGTAAGTGCGTAAAATATTATTATTACGTTGTTCGTCTATGATCCAAACTGCTTTTTAAAATCCTGTTTAGGATGGGTCTCAAATTTGGAAAACGCATCTGGGCTCGAAAGGAATCCTCTCGTCACCGGTTTTCCTCGGTAATGGAAGTGCATTCGTTGCTACACTGGATGGAACGTACTGTTGCTTCATTGTAAAAACTAAAGTTGAAGTTTGGCGAGGGAAACTGGAATCTCCAGTTTTCGCGAACGCCGTGCACCTCCAACAACATGACTTAATTCTCATTGCGGAAGTGCAAGGTCGAATACACTGTCTGACAGGCAAATGTGGAACTAAGGTACACGCATTTATAGATAAAATTAACGAACTTTTTGTAATGCATTTATTCCACTTTTAGCTTTGGTGCATTTCAACCGCAGGAAATCTATTTTCCTCGCCTAAAGTCGTCAACACGAACGACGATCTCATCGATATCTTGGTTGGGTGTCATGATAAGCATCTGTACTGCTTCTGCTTCAGGCCCGGTAAGTACTCTGCAGAGAATCCTCTTTTGAAATGGAAATTGCGTCTGCAGGCGGCCATCTATGCAACGCCCTGCATCGTGAACCGCTTGGCAGTGGTTTGCAGTACTTCCGGGTGGATAAATGTAATTTGTTTGGATAGGGTTCGACCCATAGGGGTTTTGAAACTAGACGGGGAGGTGTTCTCTACACCTCTAATCGTTGATCTCAGTGTAGTCTATGTGGGCTGCCGTGATAATAAGCTTTATAAGCTATCCCTGTGCAAGTAATTTGTTTTAAAATGGAACATATTGATCTTATTCAGCTAAATGTAGCATTCATTTATATCACAGCCGTTGGAAGGAAAATCATTGCAGGGTCCATTGTAAATTAATGTCTTCGCCTTGGTCTTCGCTACTACGCACTACGTAGAAAGATGGGCGCTGCCATAAGAGCAGTCTCCCAGTGGACATCACTGACTGGCTTCCAACTCTCAGCCGAAAAATGCACACTACCCTCACCATCATGCCGTCCTTAACACTCCAGTCTGTATCAATGGTACAGCTCCCATCAGGAGGTCAGTCCGTATCCTCGGAGTTCCTTTTCTGCCCACTTCGACGAAGTCAAGAACGCCTGCAAGACACGTCTTTATCGGTCCATTCGGCTTCGAGTTGCTAGAGCAATTTTGGAACCACGTCTCCTTTATGGAATCGGAGTTCCCGAGTAGCACACTTTCATCACAATAAGTTACAGCAACTTGTTTATGACTGAAATAAGTCGTATATAAGTTTCTACAATTGATTAGTGACAAGCGTGCTACTAGGGTTACCTGTCTCGCTCGCGAACAACTTATTACAAAACTATCCTCTACATACCATCAAACTATCCGTATCTCATCCAGCCTACTACCATCCACACCTGCAGTTGCAGCTTGCGTCGAAAGTGGAGTAGGGGAAACAGCCCTATTGTTGCGGTACGTTAGCAGCGTTAGAAGCCTATTGTTGTGTATGGAGACCTCCAATACTACCATTCAACCTTCTAGTTACTCAGGCCATCTGCAACCGATCGATTAGCTTCGAGGAGAAGACAGCTGGCTCAGATGAAGGAATTTTCCTCCTTATCGAGGCTAAACAGCTCTTTTCAGATTAGGATCACAGTTTACTATAAATATGCAAAGAGTAGGTAAATCTTAACATCTGAATCAACACCAATGAATTTTTACACTTTACAAATCCGAGATGTGCAGCCAGCATTTCTCACCTCATTTTTACAACCCAAAAACAAATATAGTTTATTACTAGAATTGAAATTGACTTTTTTAAAGTATCTATAACAAGCTTAAACTCTATTCTATCTACTGCTTCAAAAAGTACTGGGCCTTATTACGGGTTTCACTACACGGTGATAAGGAAGTGATACTCATAATAAGAGCCGTGATTGCCGTACATATCAAATGGGAATCACTTCACCGTGACGACAAGTGACAAGTTTTCAACGTGAAGTGACATCCGTAATAAGCCCCACTATGTTTCGTCAACTATGTGCAAAGTTATTAGCAAATGAGCACTTCGTGACCAAAACTGTGTATGCCAAGCATGGAAGCGGTATCTGCTTTTATTGCTGCTATCACTCCCTCAAACAAGCCGATTGCCGTATTTACGGACTCTGCAAGTGTAGTTCTAGCCCTCAACTCAGACTCTATCAAGCACTCATGGATCCAAGTCATTCAGCGGTATGCCCCCAGAAACACTACATTTGTATGGATTCCGGGTCACTGCGATATTGGTGGTAATACGGAGGCGGATCATCTAGCGGCTTCTGGAAGACAAGCCCAATTGTGTACCAAGTAGGTTCCAGCGGGGGACCTGAAAAAATGGGTTGCCAACAAAATCTGGGGAATCACATACATGGTCCCAATCAACAATCATTTTCCTTGCCGCACCAACTGTTCAGTGGAACCCATAATCTGCCACTGTAATCAATACGAAGGCTCACAAGAGCTGTACGGCATACCGGGCAGCATTATTAGGGACGCACTGTGTAACGAACTGACTAGAATCACAGCATTAATGGGCTTCCTCCTTCGATCAAATATAAAACCTGCCAAAATCCAAACCACCGCAATACCAATGGACTTTCTCTTATCACCCAAGATCCTCAGCAACTTAACAATTAAAACTCCGAAGAAAGACAACCCATTGACAGCCTCAGTACTTAACTATCACTCAAAAAAAAAATCACATTTCCCATGGAAAATATCCATTAGAATTTCACATAACTTTCATGTGATCTCATAATTGGGAATCGCTCCACGAAATCCCATGAACCTTATGTGTCCAATGAAGTTTATTTGATTTATCACATATAATTCATGTGATCATGTGAATGTTATGTGAATTTCAGATAAAAATCATTAATTTTGTTATTGGGAAAATATCACTTTTAACTTTTTTCAGTGTAGAGGCCTCTTATAGACCTTCTTCTTCTTCTTCTTCTTCTTCTTCTTCTTCTTCTTCTTCTTCGCATTTCAAGCTTATTGCTTATGGCACACGGAAAAAAGTTTTCATGTAGTTTCTATTGGGAATGCACATAATATTTTTCCATTAACAAAACCAATGATATTTATCTGAATTTCACATTACATTCATGTGATCACATGAGTTCTATATGTTAATTCACTTAAATTTCATTTGACACATAAGGTTCATGTGATTTTGTGGCGCAATTCCCAATTATGATATCACATGAAAGTTATGTGAAATTCTAATGAATATTTTCCATTGGATATGTGATTTATTCTTTGAGTGCATATTAGCTTATTGCGTGCTCACAACTTAGTGTTCTAGATGCACTTCCACAGTTATTAATTGAGAGCTTTCGATGCCTGCTACCATTTTTGCATTGGTATAATTGTGTGGCAAGTCCAATCATACTTCTATGCCCAGGAAGTCGAGAAATTTTCCAACCCGAAAAATTCCTAGACCGGACCGGGAATCGAACCCAGTCACCTCCAGCATGGTCTTGCTTTGTAGCTGTGCCTTTACCGACTGAGCTAAGAGAGGCCCCTCTTATAGACCTCCTAACATGATAAAAAAAGGAGAAAAAAAAATCTTTGTAACTTCTGGACCCAACACTATCTTTTTAGAGACAAACCAGCCAACGACTGTAAGTTTCTAAAATAAAGAAATCAATCATCAATTGCTCCCAAGTCAGAGAAAACTGTGTACTAACCTCCAAATGCGTATCACGATCGTCTGCTACGATTTAGTATTCGCCTTGACACCAGTCCTGAAGTGACGTTTCTTCACACACGTTTTGACAGTTCCTTATGGGGTTTTGCGTTGGAGTGAGAGAATAAGAAAAAAGTCCGCCATGTTTCACACATAGACTGACAGTTACATATGAGATTTCTCCATAGGAGTAAAGAGTTACAGAGCTCTCGTCAACGCCAATTATCCGCAACTCGATTTTGCCACTATCGAATTAGCGAGCAAGCGCCGGTGTCAAATCTGTGCCACGCCTAGGATCTAGTGAAAGCCCTGGCGACGATGGTTACCCGTACCACGATGGCCCAATGTGTGCTATCGGTTAGATCGCGATGGCGGCTTCAGCCATCACGTTTTTGCCTCACCGTTCTTCTTCTTATTATTATGCCTCAGATAAATCCCACCGACCTCGGCTGGGATTGAACACAGACCCATTGGGGTGAGAAAGCAGTCACACTTTCCACTACACCACCGGCGCCGACTTCCTCACCGTTCCCTGCGGTGCGGTTCGTCGGTATCTTCGGTTCAATCTCGCACAAACCGCGACGATCTTTTCAGTGAGACGGTCTAGCAGCAATTCGCGTTGACGGCACCGTCGAGAAATCGTCTCTTCTAGCAAATATTGACAGTTGCTTATAAGAATTTCGAGTGGAGTGAAAGGATAGTACGATGGCCGCCATGTTTCACGCACAGTATGACGTTTGCTTATGGATGTTACCATCCCGCATAAACAATAACCATAAGATATCATCCCAACTTAATGTGGTACAGTAGCCGTTCGCTAATTGGGGCACGACTGCACCCCAATTATCGAATGGCATTCGCTAATTGGGGGGTGTCGACAAGTGTCAAAGTTGACCGGGGGGCGCTTGACTCGTTTGTTTTGGTTTTCAGTCTTTCGTCTGCTTAACTGATGCTGTGAGCAGCTACTTAGTTTTTGTCTTGCGTGAGTGTAAATTGAGTGAATCGATTGAATATTTTGTTGAGTTATTTCCGGCGCTGGTAAATATTTGTGCATTCATACGTTGTTTGTAATGTTGTAGCAATTATCCTCCTGAAATTTGTTCAGCTTTCACAATGGAAGGAGTATTAGCTTCCAGTTCCGGAGTGGATAATAAGCAAGTCGTGAAACGGAAGCACACTACGCTTACCTTGGCTCAGAAGGTGAGAATAATCGAGGAATTTGAAGCAGGAAACGGTTCCCACGAAATATTAGGCAAAAGGTTTGGTGTCGGAGCATCCTCGGTCGGTCGATTTTTGAAAAATAAGGAGTCAATTCGGATGAAACTAGAAAAATTCAGAGAACATGGCGTGGAAAATCGAAAAACGATGAAGGAGCAGAATTTTCCCTTACTGGAGGAAGCGCTTTACCTATGGGTTTTGCAACAACGTGAGGCTAATATTATTGTCACATTGGATGTGATCAAGGCCAAAGCAGAACAACTGTTCCAATGCTTTCAAGATCTTGGTGTTTATCTGGATCTTACTTTTTTGATTTCGGATGGCTGGGTGCGCCGTTTTAAACAGCGTTTCGGATTACGTGTTTTGGTGGTGGCAGGAGAGAAAGCTTCCGCGGATAAAGAAGCGTACCTTAAATTCAAGGAAGTGCTCATGAAGAAAGTATTGGAAATGAATGTGACAAAAGCCCAAATTTTTAATGCAGATGAATCAGCACTTTTCACCAAGCTGATGGCATCACGCACTATCGCATTATGGGACAAGACAGTCGCTTCGGGACGAAAGCTCAACAAAACCCGATTCACATTCATGCCGTGCTCGAACATGGATGGTTCTCTCAAAATGAAACTGATGTTCATTGGGGTAGCCGAGAACCCCCGTGGATTTCCTCGCGGCTTTCAGCAATCATTACCGGTATCCTACTACAATTCCAAAAAAGCTTGGATGACACGTCAGTTGTTCCGTACCTGGTTTTATGACGAGTTCATTCCCGCTGTCCGGAAGCACGATTTGGAACCGTCAGCGCTTTTGGTTCTGGATAACTGTACTGCTCACTACGATGGATGCGATGATTTGAAGAG